GCGCTCTATTCATTTGTGTTATTTTCTTTGGAACCTGAAATAATGTGTGTAAAAGTGTATTTCATCAAACTGTAAGTTGGTTTTTAATTATTTCATAGTTTATAAAATATTTTTGGCCATTTTTTTTTTTAGTTTTTGTTCATTTTCCTAGTTTTATGGCCAGTGCCACAGTGTTTAAACTCCATGTGTTATTACTTATGGCTTTAGGCTTTGGGAGGGGTTCTGGGGAGGGGTTCTGGGGAGGGTTTTTATGGAGGGGTTTCTGGGGAGGGGTACTGGGGAGGGGTACTGGTGAGGGGTTAACCAGCCTAGTGTTTCTAGCATGCTGCCAACACTAGAGGTATTCCTGTAGCGGTTTAGGACAAAGCGTGCTGCTCGTCGCTGGACCGCCTCCAACCTGTCAATGCTCTTCTGGGTAAATGGGTCCCAGACTGAAGATGCATAATCTAAAATCGGACGGATAAAGGCTTTATATGCTCTTTCTTTCACACATGAGTTGCCAATCTTTAGATTTCGCCTTAAGAACCCTAGGGTCTTGTTTGCTTGGCTACATACATTGTTAATATGCTCGTCCCAGCGGACCTCTCTTTGAATGGTAACTGTAACACACACATGCTCTGACATTATTATCACTGTAACTTATTTCTTAGGCTGTGGGTTATGTCAGTAGCACGGTTACTTGTTTTAAGTTAGTAATTCAGAATGCCGGCTAAGACTTCATCGTTCTTCCTCTTGTGATCCAGGCACGCAAATAAGAATACTGAATCCTGGTTAAACTAACAGTACTTTATTAAATCACAGTTTACACAGATAATATTAATAATAATCCTGCATGAATGTAATCATTTCACATATATATATATAATATTCCATCACTCAGAAAGACACGTCCTCACACTGCTATAACTCAGCTCAACTGTACTACATCTCAACTCTAACTCAACTCCGACTAACTCTGACTCTCCTTGCGCTCAGCTCTCCTTATCTCAGTCAACTCATACTTTATTACCAGCAAAGCGTGGAAAACAACCGCTCTGACAAAAACATAATTTTACTCTCCAAAAACGTGGAGTTCACATTGTCCTCTCAAAATACATGGTCAACACAATTCACTGTTCACTCATGCTACCTCTCTGTTTTCATGTGAAAACATAGTCCGTTACAGTAACACCCAGGTACTTTACGGAGGAAACTTGCTCAAGTATATGGCCGTGCGGTTCGTATTGGTAGTGTAGAGGAGTACAACTTCTAGAGACTGATAGTGTCTGGCACTTGGCAGGGTGAAATTCCATGTCCCAGCTCATCTCCCACTCAGATAACAGATTGAGATCCTGTTGTAGCTGGTCCTGGTCAGATCTGTTGGCGATCGTCCTATACACTACAGTGTCATCTGTGAACAGTCTTGCCTGTGATGTCAGTTTCTCGAGTAGGTCATTAATGTATGCTAGGAACAAACAGGGGGCCAGGACTGATCCCTGGGGGACCCCTGACTTCACATCGACAAAGGAGGAGCTTGTACCGCCCACCGTTACTGCTTGGCGTCGGTGGCTGAGGAAGCTAGAGATCCATGTTTTAGTGGTGCCTTGAATCCCATATCTCTGGAGTTTGTGTAGAAGCAAACTATGATTCACACGGTCAAATGCTTTTGCGAAGTCCATTACTAGCACGTCAGTCTGCTTGTG